TGCGTGGGGACTAACAGGATTCAATTCTTCAAAAAACAAGTTTTCTATCTATGAAGAAGAAGAAGAAGAAGAAGAAGAAGAAGAAGAAGAAGGATAAAAAAAAGATAGAGATAAAAATTATAAAAATTGTAGAANGTTTTCTATCTATGAAGAAGAAGAAGAAGAAGAAGAAGAAGAAGAAGAAGAAGGATAAAAAAAAGATAGAGATAAAAATTATAAAAATTGTAGAAGAAGGAAAAAGAAGAAGAAGAAGAAGAAGAAGAAAAAGAAAAAGAAGTAGAAGAGGAAGAGTAAGCTTGGAAAATTGTCGGTGCTTCCCGGAAAACAATGAGCCGTGCGATTTAACGCGTAACGATCGTTAAACGCTCTCGGGCCTTCGTTTGTGCGTATACGCGTAGTTGTAGAAGAGTTAAAAGAGAGAGAGAGAGAAAGAAAAAGAGAAGAGAAAGAAAGAGAGAAGGAGGTACGTGAGAGTGAGTAAGTAAATATGCGAGTGAATGTATATGTGTGTGAAAAAGAGAGAGAGAGAGAGAGAGAGAGAGAGAGACGAGGTGAGAGTGAGTGAGTAAATAATAAGTAAGCGAATGTATATATATATATATATATATATATATATGTGTTATGTATGTGTGTGTGTGTTAGAATGAGAGAGGGAGAACACCGATATAAAGTTAGAGTTAGAGCACGCGACCTTCAACGAAACGTCAAACGACGTCCGCGTAGTGTTTAGCGCGCAGGGCCGTATTAACCGAATGAGAATATAGAGACTAATTTATTACGGATTATCGGTGGTTCGACATTAACAACAACGACACGTGCTACGACCACTCTTATCGTTCATTGCTAAGTTATGCACTAATGCGAAGTCACAGAGAACGCAAATACATATATAACTTCTTTCATTTTTTTTTTGTTTAAATACAAAAAAAAATAGAGAAATATACGAGAGAAACTTTGTATCCTTTTTTTTCTTTTTCTATTGGAAATAAAAATCTACGAGAAAGAGAGAGAGAGAGAGAGAGAGAGAGAAATATAAAGTAATTGATAATAGCGATTATATTATATTCAATATATAATTTAAAAATCATTTATTTATATTAATTGTGTTAGTTTTTTACTTTGTTTTTAATTTGTACGGATAAGGGCCTATATGTAAGTTTAATCTTCAATTTAGAAATTAATTTGAGATATGCAAGAATTATACTTTGGGATGAAGAATATAGAGTTATTGTTTGTATTTGTAATTAATTTTAATTTTCTAATGTAATTAGAATTAAGAATAATTTATATAATTAAATAAATTATTTTTTATATATTATGATTAAGAATATAGAGTCATTGTTTCTATTGTAATGAGTTTTAATTTTCTATATATATATTATTTATTATGATTACTTGTGCATATACTACTAGATATAAATGTTATATATATATAATAATATCTATGATCGTGATAAGATTGTTAATAAAAAAGAAATTTATGCTAGATTAAATTCTTAATACAATCTCGATGTGTTTCCTCGTAGTCGAATATATACTAAAAAATATAATAAAAAATATACTAAAAAAAAAAAAAGAAAAATAGAAAAATAAATTATTACATTCATCCTACTTGTTATTATATTATAAAAAAAATATACACGAATATTCATTATTAATCGAATAAAATATTAAGAGAAAAAATAATATATATCAATTTAATCTCTTAAAAAAAAAAATAATTTAAAAATAGGTATATATAATTGTATTCGTAAAAAATCAAAAGCCCGTAATTTCGCTCACCGAAAAGCATCTTCTCTCACCGATTTTCCTACTTTCCAGCTACCTTCTTTTTCTTTCTTTTTTGTTGTTGTTTCTTTTTTCTTCTTCCTTTCCTCCTCTTCTTCGGCGTTGGCGTCGGCGTCGGCGTCGGCGTCGGCGTCGTCGTCGTCTTCGTCGTAATTGTTGTCAGCCTCCAAAAGAGCTTCGAGGTTTACTCTCTCTCGACGCACGTGAGATATTTTCGTCTGGTCGCGAACAGCTCGCGGAACACGCACTATCTTCCTCTTTTTCCTCTTCCTCTTCCTCTTCCTCTTCCTCTTCTTCTTCTTCTTCTTCTTCTTCTTACTCTTCTAATTTTCTATCTATCTCGTTTTTCTTCTTTACATAATACCGATTTTTCTCTTGTTGGAATCTCGACAAATTACCGACTACTTCTCTTTTCATTCTTCATTTCTTTCTTTCTTGCTTTTTACTATTTGCATTTTTTCACTTATTATTCTAAAGTTTTATGAAAGATCAACTATCTTTTTCTCTCTTTCTTTCTTTCTTTGTGTTTGTTTCTCTCGAGATTCGTAAATCAGTCTACGTCTTATGACTAGAATGTAATCTTTTACTTGCTTCCGTTAAAACATCCTAGCATTAAATACTTCTCTCTATCTTATTTTTACTCTTATGAAATATCATCCGTAATATGTATAATATATCCATATATATAATAAATTTCAAAAATAATTTCTATCTACTTGTGCTCAATTTGTCATCTTAAACTATCCGTCTCTTTCTAATTTATTCTAACTTTGATGAAATCTCAACAGCATCCCATCTCTTTCTATGAAAATATAAATACATATATATATGTACATATATTTCTACCTTCCACCAATTTGTCATTCTAGATTATTCATCATTATCTATCTATCTATCTATCTATTTATCAATCAATCTATCTATCTATCTCTTTCTTAATTTTTTTCTTTTGGGTTAACCTTTCGCGCATCAGTTACGTTGCACGTAAGGAAAAAAAGGAAGGAAGGAAGGAAGGAAAAGATCCATCCGCCAGTTTGAATCTACTCGAAAGTGTATATAAAATATAAACGTATACGAATAATACTTACATGGATAGATAAATACATAGATAGATACGTAGGTATGTACCGTCACTCCATGATCGTGACAGTACGACGTGCATACGTGCGTGCATACGTGGTGCGTGTCATGCGTGTCTCCTTTCTAACCCGAAGCTCGAGAGTTGTTCCACCTCCTTCACCTCTCTCTCCACCACTACCACCACCACCACCACCACCATCACCACCACCACCACCACCGCCGCCTCCTCCACCCACCACCTTTTCCGAGAGAGAGCACGTGTGCGTGTATGCACGTGCACTTGTGCGTATATCTCTCTCTCTTTGTAATATTTTTTTCTTTTTTTTTTTCTTTTATTATTATTATTATTTCTCTCTTTCTCTCTCTCTCTCTCTTTTTTCTATTTCTCTTTCTCTTTCTATCTTTAACTAAGAAACACTAGAAAAGAACACCACACTTTTACGAAGCCGTCACGCACGATCACGGATCATTTCCTATCCTTTTCTATTTTCGATTCCCGTTCAGTCGTATTTCTTTTTTTATCCTTTGAGAATGAAGGAAGGAAAAGAAGGATGGATGGGGATCGGTGGAAGGGCAAGAGGAAGAGGGTAGGTTCTCGCGTGGAAATTGGCGCGAATCCGACGGAGCGTGTCGCGTACGGTAGCTCAGATCTCTACGGTAGTTTCTAATTTACCGCGCTCGATCGTGACGAGATATGCTCGGACAAGGATGCAACCATTCTTCTTTACATCTTTTTCCTTTTTACTTCCCTTTCTCTTCTCTCTTTCTCTCCTCTCCTTTATTTTTATTCCTTTTTTCTAACACTTTCTTTCTATTTCAAACAATATTTTCTATAAACGCGTTTTATCATTTCTATTTTCAAACCTTTCTTTTTCAATTGGTTTTTTTGTTTCCTTTTCTTTCTAATTTCTTCATCGTCACACGATTCACACCAGATCTCTCTCTCTCTATCTAAATTTTTTATTCTTTTTTCTTTTGTTTATATTTTGTTCGATCTTTCATACGTTTTTCTAAGTAGTAATATGTTTTATACAATTTTCAAATAATATATATATATATATATTTTTTTTTTTTACCAGATATATTCCTTTCTCTTTCTTCTTTTTTATTGTTCTTTTTATTAATCTTCTTCTTTTTTAAATATAACTTTAATTATCAAATTTAATTAATTTTTCTTATAATACACTAATTCACAATCTTTCATTTATTTTAATCTTCTTTTATATTTTCTCTCTTAACATTATTTCTTTTTTTTTTTTATAATACAATTATCAATCTCACATTGTTTTTTATACTTTATTTAATTGTCTCGATTAATTTTTTTCGAAATATAAATGTTTTGTTTTGTTTTTTTTTTTTTTAAATCGTATGACAAATAATTTTCTAACACATTTTTCCTTGTTATCATCATTTGTTGATTTCTCATTCATTCTTTCTTTCTTTCTCTCTCTTTTTCTCTCTCCTTCTCTCTATCTGTCTGACACCGACCGGAAGCATCCCGGTTAGGCACTTTTCACTCACGTCACGTGTCTCCCGACGCGGGATCGCGCAACGCGTTGCTCCGAGCAAAGCCTCGTGGCCATCGGCCGTCGAGAAACAACGTCGAAACTCTGACGAAGACGATGACGATAACAATGACGACGACGACGTGCCAACAAGAAAAAGAGATCATCGGACCCACCTATTTACATTTTTCTTCATGTCATCATCATCATCATCATCATCATTATCATTATCATCGTCTTCTTATTTAAAATAATTCTTCCACTTCCACCACCAACACTCCCATCCCATCCTTCCACCCTTTCCAGTTCCACAAAAAAAAAAATAATTAAATTAATTTTACATTGAGAATAAAAGAATCCTCGTTGTCGAACAAATTTTTTCATAACTTTTTTTGACAAAAAAAAAAAAAAGAAAAACAAAAAAGAAAAAACCGGAACGTTAGCAAAACATCATCACGTCAATGTTACGAAGAAAAAAGTAAAAATATTTATGCGTATAATATTATTTTGGTATGTTTATGGTAATAAAAACGTTGGAAAACTGTTCACCCACTTGAAAAACAAATATTTCGTAGTAGTCGACGTCTACCATGGGATGTCCATGGGACACGGATTTCTGGTCCACTTCTTTATTCTTCCTCTTGATTGTTGTTCTTCTGTAAGTCCTGTAGTAACTTCCTACCACCAATGATGATTACTTTCAAATGTTCACGTGTCTTTCTGTAAAATTTTTCCTTTTTTTTTTTTCTATAGAGAACACTTTTCTCTCTTTTTCTCTCTCTCTCTCTCTCTTTGTTTCTCTTTCTCTTTATTTTTTCTTTGTACTTATCTGTCATCTAATAACAATCGTACAATTTCCTTCTTCCTCGTTTCTTCTCAATTCAATCAATTCACGAATGATTTTCTTTCTTTCTTTCTTTCTTTTTTTGTTTGGACAATTCGATGACAATTTTCTTTCTCTTTCTTTTTTTTTCACTAAACGAAGAAAAAACCTTTTTCCGTAGTTCACCAATTTCATGACCGTTTTCCCACGTATTTGTTAAATAGTCGTAATTACGATCAACACAAAGGATTGAATGAAATATCATCGATGAAGATGACATTAGTAGTAGTAGTAGTAATAGTAGTAGTAGTAGTAGTAGTAGCAGTAATAACAACAACAACAATAATAACAACAACAATAACAACAATAACAACAACAAAAACAACTACGACGACGACGACAACGACGACGACAATATTTGACGATTTTTGTATACACGAGGGGATAAAAAAGATAGACAACGCGTGAAAAATAAAAAGAAAAAATGAACTAACCTTAGGAAAAGGAAAGGAAGAAAAAAAAAGGTGTATATAAAAACAAAGGTGAAAACAATAATCATCAACGTTCATATATACACGCGCGCGCGCGACGGACATGGTTTGTGGACCAATTTGACAACAAAATTTCTCTCTCTCTCTCTCTCTCTCTCTCTTTCACACAGTTATACGTGAGTATAACAAATTTGATTTTCTCCCCAAAAAAAAATCTCAAAATAATCGAAAAATGTCTTCGTTCATTTTTCTTATCATTTCCATAATGCACTTTATTTTTCCGTATGGCTCGTACATTTCTCCACTTATGTCGTCGTCGTCGTCGTCGTCGTCGTCGTCGTCGTCGTCGTCGTCGTCGTTGTCGTCGTTGACGTGGTTGATAATCGTCGTTGGTTTAAAACTTAACTTTGCTTTCGCGACGATGGCACCCCCGTTAGCTTGACAAAACGTTTCTATTCATATTTAACGCGAATATATACGATGATATACATTATAGATTTTGCGTTACGAATTATCTTCGTAGAATCAAACAAATTCATTGGAGTACAACAACAAAAATTGTCAATCGTTAAATTAATTTATCAACGTCAAGTGAATTTTACGTAGGAAAATATAAGAAAGTTAAACAAACAAAAAGAAAATCGCGACGAACGTTGTCTTTCGATATTATATATAATAATAATTGTTTAACCATGAGACGAAGAGAAACACCAAAGAAAAGAAAAGAAAAGAAAAGAAAAGAAAAGAAAAGTAATAGTAAATGAAAATGAAAATGAAAATGAAAATGAAAATGAAAATGAAAAGTAAAGTAAAGTAAACTAAAGTAAAGTAAAGTAAAGTAGCGAAAAGTAACGCAAAAGAAAAACTAAATTCGAATGAAAAAAATGAATAAAAAAAAAGAAAAACAAAAGAAAAGAAAAATAAAGAAAGGAGAAGAAATAGAAAAAAAAAGAAGAAAGGATTTTAGATTACAAAAAAAAATTGGTATAATTCGTTAAAATAACGTAGCCTCGCATGATAAATATTTACCTTGCTACATGTAAAACGAATAGAAGAGCCTGCCTGAATCGAACGAAGGAAGGCTCAACCGGCCCACTGTGACGTCGCCGGCCTACTGTCAGCTCAGCGCTCGCTCGGCCCCGCGGTCAACTAACCTACCGTGCCCGCCGCGCACACTTTACCGACATAACACATCGATCTCCCTAGGATAACGTACCAATTAACTATAACAATATTTTTATTATTATTATTAACAATCACGATTTTATCCGATCAATTATTATCACCTTGATTAACATTTAATTATACTCGTACAAGTAGTAACAGTCGCCAACTTGACTAACGTAGTAGTCAGGTGTGAAACGCTCACGCGCATAGGCGCACACGCGCACAACCACCACGCACACTCTTCTTTAGGAGGGAGTGAGAGAGACGGAGAGGGGGGAATGGAGAGAGGGAACGCGAACCTCGCGGATCTGTCTCTCTCTCTCTCTCTCTCTCTCTTACACTGTTTCTTTCTTTTTCTCTCTCACTCACGTTTACGTTCTCACTCGCTCTTCCTGTATACCCCTACTTCGTTCTGTCACTCCTTCACTCTTTCCCGCTCTCTCGAGCGAGCGATTCGTCGAGCCGCACGGTGGTCCACTTCGATGCAACGCGCAAAAAAAAAAAGTACGAGAGGAAGTAAAAAAAAGAAAAAGGAAAAAACAACAAAAAAAGAAAAGAAAAGAAAAGAAAAAGAAAAAGAAAAAGAAAAAGAAAAAGAAAAAGAGAAAGAAAAAAAGGGCTCGCGTAAATGCGTCCTACGCACTAACTTTACACTCTCTTTTGCTTTCAAAATCAAAGTTCTTCTGTCCTTTTCCTCACCCCTCTCTCGCTACCGTCACCCACTCTCCTCTTACCCCTGCTCATCGCAGTTCACTCTCTCTCTCTCTTTTTTCGCAAAATTGTTTGTTACGAATTTGCATAAGTCGTTAGATCTAATTAATTAATATAAATAATTGTGTATTTTGTCAAAATTAAGGGTTAATGTATACGCTACCTTTGTCGATACGATTCTAAGTTTACTTGTCAAAGAAAATGGCTTTCCTAGGATCGCTGAGTACGCAGTCCAAGAGAGAAAGAGAAAGAAAGAGAAAGAGAGAGGGAGAGAGATGGGAGAGGAACGATCGATCGAGGATGATCTATATCTACTGAAAATTACAAAACGACACCACGAGTACGCGTCGCATGATGCGCCGTGCGTCTGACTTTCGAAGTAGAAAAGGTCTAAACGCGTACGACCAGGTGGCATCTATGCTCGTCCAACTAAACTATATGTACTTTTATCTA